ATTCCTCATTTGTTTATGATCAGCATTTAACAAATGCTGCACCCATATTGCGCAAAGCTTTCTCATACTAGGTTCTACATGTAAACTGTGCCTTACCCTTTCTTCTGAGATGCCTACAGCCTTAGCTATCTCATTTTTAATCATCGATCATCTAGAACTATATTGTGTATCTTCTCGATATTTTCTTTGGTAGGTGCAGTTTTTGGCTGTCCTTTACGTGGATCATCTTCATTTGCCTGTATGTTTCAAATCCGCTGCATTGCTTGAAATGCCAACGATTTGGACATTCACAAACATCCTGATGTGGGAAAAGCACATGCACACAGTGTGGAATCGAAGGTCACCAGAGTACTGAGTGTACCGATACTCCATGCTGTGTGAATTGCAAAGATGCCTATCCTGCCTACTCTCAGAAATGTTTTGCATGGCAGACAGAGAGAAGGATTCAGCGCGTCAAAACAGTTAACTGTCTACCTTATTCAGAGGCTTGGCGCATGGTCACTTTAAGTGCACCTTTGAATCAGAAGACATTTGCGGCTGTTTTGAAATTCACAAAGTCATGTGGAGTTCAAACAGATATTTTTGTTAATCCAAAAGAATCTCTTCCTTGCTATGCAAAATGTTTGCTAATGCAATCAAAAGAAACCGAAGAAAAGGAGAGTATCAAGACAAAAACATCACTTCTTAAAGCAGGGTTAGTAACCAGAAATGTCTGTTCAAAGAAAGCAAATAAGAACCCACTTAACAAACAAAAAGTGAAAGCAGCCCTCTGTAAATGTAAAAGATCATAGACTCAGTCCATGAGTGAGTTCTCTGATATATCTGACAAAGAGCCTAATATGGAGGTGATAAAACCAACATCACCCCCCTAAAGAAAAATCTTTGAAATTAAAGAGGGATACCCTTTCTAAAAATGCTGCCTTAAACACATGATAGATTACAAAATAATCCAATGGAACTGTCATGGTTTCTGCAACAACTTCTCTGACATTAAACTCATGACATCATCTACTTTATTTTTTCTGTGGCACTCCAGGAAACCCATCTAAAACCTGGAGAAAAAATTTCCTTGAAAGGATTTGACCTCTACCGAAAGGATGATTATAGCCACAACCGTGCCAGTGGAGGTGTTGCTATTCTGGTTTCAAATCGCATTTCATCCTTACCGGTACAAATAACCACTGATTTGCAAGCTGTGGCAGTCAGAATTTCTATTGGAGTAACTGTCACAGTTATCTCTATATACTTGCCACCAGATGTCAGAGCCAACGAGGATGAATTGGATGCATTAATTGAACAGCTGCCAACTTCATTCCTTTTTCTTGGTGATTTTAATGGCCATAATAAATGTGGGGCAGTCCAGACATCAATTGTCGAGACAGAGCCATTGAGAGATTTATAGGTAATCATCAACTGTTTTTATTTAATACTGGAGAACTGACATACTTTCATGCCCTATGAAGAACATTTACTGCCATAGATCTATCATTAGCCAGTCCAAACCTGTTTTCGGCATTTTCATGGGAGGTTGGATCTAATCCACTCTCTAGCGACCACTTCCCAATATTTTTAAAATATCAAGGCAGAGAAAGCTGTGAAACAGCCCGTCCACCACGCTGGAAACTGGAAACGGCAGATTGGCCTACATTCTCCTCTTTGGCTAACATCACTGAGGAAATGGCCAATACTGCTGATATCAATGATGCAGTTGAAATTGTCACTTCTACTATTATTCAGGCAGCTGAGAAAACAATAGGGAAAACATCAACTAGATATCCAAAGAATCCGAAACCATGGTGGAACCAAAGTTGCGAGGCAGCATTTAAAAAACAAAAGAAAGCATGTGGCATTTTCAGAAGATACTTTATTGCTAACAATTTGGTTGCTTTTCAAAAAGCAAAGGCAATTGCCAGAAGAATTAGAAGGCAAAGCCAAAGGGATTCTTGGAGGAAGTATGTTTCTAGCATAAGATCATCCATTAGCTCAAAAACAGTCTGGGATAAAATTCACAAAATCAATGGCAAATGTGCTTCCCACTGTCCATGCTGGAAAATAATGGCACAATAATCAGTGATATACAGGATATTGCTGATATGTTGGGTGAAACATGTTCCTTTTTATCCAGCAATATAATGTATACTAGGAATTTTCAAGCTTTTAAAGCCCAAAGAGAAAAACAAAATTTAAATTTCTATTCCTAATCTAATGAGGAATATAATGTGCCATTCAGCAGAGCAGAACTGTATACAGCAAATTCTTGTTTGGGAAATAGTGCTGTAGGTCTGGATAAAATTCACTACATCATGATTAAAAATCTGTCTTGCAATTCCCTTAACCTTGCTGCTGCGCCGACTGCATTATCGCGGGATCACATGACCACCTGTTATTAATGAGATGCTAAAACCATGAAATCACGATTTTAATAAAAAAATTCGCGTTATATTCGAGTTTTCTTGCTATTTTAGCTATGATTCGCTCTTTTGTAGGTCGATTGACTTTGTTTAAGCCAATAAGCGTTTTGTCACCACCCCTGGGCCATAAATATTTCGGGAAATACATTCCCCTACTATTTACAGTAAATCTTCGAAGTTAACGAGACAGTTGTTGAAAACAATCAAAGGGAAACTCCTTCTAAAGTTTTATTGGGTATCTTCTGTCTTTGTTGACATTACTGTAACTAATCACAGACTTGTGAAAGGAAAAATTGCTGCGAAAAGTCCCGCCTCCAACCTTCGAAGTAAAATGTAAATAATCACAATAAATTCGCTTTTTAAATCGTTTTTTAGCTCTAATTAACTAATTTTAACGTTTTAAGACATTAAATTAGCTAATTCAACAGTATTTAATCGTATTAATATGTTTTTAAAACTATCTAGCAAGAAATATTCCCGGGAAGCTCCACCTCTCTATAGTAAGTCTATGGAAGACGTTCTTCCTGTTAATTGGCTTTAAAATTTTTGTTTCTACGCTTATTACGCTCTAATTGGTCATTTATATTATGACTGATTTAACTTTAACGAATGAGAGCTTTTTTCAGAACATGTGGTCTGGATTTTCCCGCGAAGAACCAATCCACGTGATTGAAGTCATTATGTAAACAAATGTTAAAAAATAGCTATATTCATTATTTTAGAGCGTAATTCTACTAGTTTTTATGTTATTTGACTCTACTTAGACAAGAAGATATTTTATCAAAAGCTTCTAGCTGAAAATTTTTTTGGGAAACTCATTACTTCTGGATATTGCGTAATCGCAAGAAAAAATTAACTAATCATTTATTATAGGGTATTATTATAAATAAAGCGTTGAAAAAATATGTAAAAAGTGACAAATATTCACTCTTATAAAAGTATGTTGATAAAATAAACTTTGATCTAAAAATACCCGAGCCACTCCCCACTCCTCTCTTCCCGCAGGGTAATTAGAGACGTAGTGTAAATAATGGCAATAACTTCTCCCCCGCTCTAGCTAGAGAGCTCCGGTTTGTTTTGTTTAAAAGAAGACAGATGTGTCTAACGAACAGATGTACAAAGTTCAGCGAATCTCTGTAAATTAATTTTTTTTTATTGTTCGTGAACTTCGAAATTTTAATATTATTTTAAATTTGTATTAAACTAAAAATTAAACAATCGTAAACCGCAATATGTTTTTAATCAAACACAAAAAACAGATTAAATATAGCGCGATTTTGAAGCGAAATATCTCGATTTAAAAAATTATCCAAAAATTCAAAAAATGCTCCGCATGGACTAGGTTAATAATCTTCTGAATCTGTTTAACAGAATATGGACAGAACATACTTTTCCTGACTGTTGGAGGATATCAATTATCCTCATTCCAAAACTTCGTAAAGATTGCAAGAATCCTTCTAATTACAAACCAATCTCTCTGACAAGTTGTCTCTGTAAACTCTTTGAGAGGATGGTAAACAGACGCCTGATGTTCCTCCTAGAGTGAAAGAACTACTTTTTATTACATCAGAGTGGATTTCGTAGGAACAGAAGTACCACGGACAATTTAGTAAACCTTGAAACATCTATACGCGAAGCGTTTGTTCAACGACAGCACTTAGTGTCTGTGTTTTTCGATATAGAGAAGGTTTATGATCGATGTTGGCGATACGGAATATTTCGTGATTTGCACAAATTTCGATTGCATGGTAATTTGCCAGCGTTTATAAAAAAAAAACTTCTTGCAGAATTGAAGATTCCAAATCAAGATGGGCAACACTCTATCTAGGCCTTTTGTTTTAGAAGAAGGTGTTACTCAAGGTTGTATTTTGAGTGTGACTTTGTTCCTAGTCAAAATTACAGCATAGCTCTGTGTCTTCCTTCTAGTGAAATACTCTCTGTATGTGGATGACTTTCAGATTTTTTGCCAGTCTAGTAACATGAGTTTCATTGAGAGACAACTACAAACATCCCTAAATCGCATAGACAATTGGTTCAAGACCAATGGTTTTACTTTCAACATGGAGAAGACCTCATGCATCCACTTTCGTTGAAGGCATGGTTTACACTTGGATCTTGAATTTACGTAAATGGGATTAAAATCCCGATGGTCAATGAGGCTTAGTTTGTAGGTCTTACATTTGACCAAAAACTGACTTTTTTTACAACATTTGTGCAATTTGAAGAGTAGATGTTTGAAAACTTTGATGTTTTATGCTCAGGTTTTATAGAGCCTGTGTCTTCTTGAAGTTGGACTATGGATGTGTTGTGTAAAGCTCTGTGAGAGAATCTACTCTTCGGATGCTGGATCCAATCCACCATCAAGCTTTGCGTTTGTGCACTGGTGCATTTCGAACTTCCCCTGTCCAAAGTTTGTATGTGGATGCTTATGAGCCTCCACTATCTCTCAGGAGAGAACAGTTGTCTCTTTTTTATTATATAAAACAAAAATCTCTTACTAAACCTTCAGTTGATTGTACAGTATCAGATACTCAGCTGAAAAGGTTATTTGAAGCTCGCCCAAGTAGTGTTCCTACATTTGTCATAAGAATGGAGAATGTAAGCAACACGATTGACCTGAACATAAGCAACGTTTCACAGGCCGAGATTGATAGTACACCACCCTGGTCTACTCCTGTGATAAATGTTGACTTTAGCTTAAAGCAGTTTCCTAAGGAATCCACACCAGACTACGTCTATAAACAGCACTTTGCAGAAATCCAACACAATGACAGGAATTTAATTTTCATTTACACTGACGGTTCTAAATCGAATGATTATGTTGGCTCAGCCTTTGTCTGCCAGGATGAAATTGTGGCAGAGCAAATTTCATCAAATTCTTCTATTTTTACTGAAGAGCTGCATGCTATCTACTTAGCCTTAAACTATGTAATCAGAAAAGGTCATCGTGGTTGCGTGATTTACACTGACTCAGTTAGCGCACTTCAGGCTTTGATCTCGTGTGAACGTAGTTCTCACTCTATAGTGATTAAAATTCGTAAATTGTTTTGCCATCTTTTTGCAAGGAATTTATCTATAAAATTTTGTTGGGTCCCAGGCCACGTAGGTATAAAAGGAAATGAAGAAGCTGACGCAGCTGCAAAATCAGCTAGTCCTTCACAGCATATAATGCCTATTGAAGGAGGTGATTTGAAGCTAGTTGTTAAAAAACGACTAGCAGAGCGATGGCAAAACATGTGGAATGCACAAATCCACAATAAACTACACGAGATCAAGCCGAATATAGAAAATTGGACACACAATAAACAGTATGACAGGAGATCTGAAGTAATTCTTACTCGTTTGAGAATTGGGCATACTCGGTTGACTCATCTGTACCTTTTGAAGGGTGAAGATCAGCCATTATGCCAATATTGTAACTGTACTGTAAGTGTTAAACACATACTTTGCAACTGCATTGTCTCTGAGAGGATACGTAGACAGCATTTTGGAAATACAAGTTTTAAAGAGATTCTGGGCCAGAGGCCAAATCTTGATAAATTGTTGAACTTTCTGAAAGTCACTAATTATCATAAAGAAATTTGATTATTTATTTAAATATTTATTTATTTATATGTTGTTATTATATATACGTGTACCGTTATATATTTTTGTTATTGGTTTTGTTATTTATTATATTAGTATAGTGATATTTGATTAGTTATTTATTTATTTACTTATTTTAGAGTTGTATTTACTTTGGTTTTTCTTAGTAATCTTGTTGTATATATTTGTTGTTATTTGTTTATTTATTTATGTAATAATGTCCTATGTTCGTTAGTGTGATGTCTTAAAATTTTTACCATTTGCTTTGGCGCAGCTTAGCCTAAATGGCTCTTGTGCCAAAAAACTAGAACAAACCAACTAACCAACCCATCCTTGCCGGTACAAATAACAACTGATTTGCAAGCTGTGGCAGTCAGGATTTCAATTGGAGTAAATGTCACAGTTTGTTCTGTATACTTGCCACCACATGTCGGAGTCAATGAGAATGAACTGGATGCCTTGGTTGAACAATTGCCAACACCATTCCTTTTACTTGGTGATTTTAATGGCTACAATCGTATGTGGGGCAGTCTCGACATCAATCGTCGAGGCAGAGCCATTGAGAGATTTATAGGTAATCCTCAACTGTATCTATTTAATACTGCAGAAGTGACATACTTCCATGCCCCATCAAAAACGTTCACTGCCATTGATCTATCATTAGCAACTCCGAATTTGTTTTTAGCATTTACATGAGAGGTTGGATCTAATTCACTCTCTAGTGACCATTTCCCAATATTTCTAAAACATCGAGGCAGAGAAAGCTGTGAAACAGCCCGTCCACCACGCTGGAAACTGGAAACGTCAGATTGGCGTGCATTTTCCTCTTTGGCTAACATCACTGAGGAAATTGTCAATACTGCTGATATCAATGATGCAGTTGAAGTTGTCACTTGTAATATTATTCAGGCAGCTGAGAAAACAATGGGAAAAACGTCAACAAGAAACCCAAAGCATCTGAAACCATGGTGGAACCAAAATTGCGAGGCAGCATTTAAAACACAAAAGAAAGCTTGGGGGATTTTCAGAAGATACCCCACTGCTAGTAATATGATTGCTTTCCAAAAACCAAAGGCAAATGCCAGAAAAATAAGAAGGCAAAGCCAAAGGGATTCTTGGAGAAAGTATGTTTCAAGCATAACATCATTTACTAGTTCAACAGCAGTCTGGGATAAAATCCATAAAATCAATGGGAACTATGCTTCTCATTCTCTGTACATGCTGGAAAATAATGGCACAATAATCAGCGATATACAGGGTATTGCTGATACATTGGGTGAAACATTTTCTACTTCATCCAGCAATATCATGTATATAAGAAATTTTTAGGCTTATAAAGCCCAAAGTGAAAAACAATATTTAAACTTTCATTTCTCATCTAATGAGGAATATAATGTGCCATTCACCAGCACAGAACTACATACAGCGATCTCTCGCTCAGGGAAGAGTGCTGTAGGCCCGGATAAAATCCACTACAGCATGATTAAAAATCTGTCAAACAATTCTATTTCTAATCTGCTGTGTCTGTTTAACAGAATATGGACATAACATACTTTTCCTGACTCTTGGAGGCTATCTATTATTATTCCTATTCCCAAGCCTGGTAAAGACCACAAGAATCCCTCTAATTACAGACCAATCTCTCTGACAAGTTGCCTGTGTAAACTTTTTGAGAGGATTGTAAACAGACGTTTGATGTATCTCTTAGAGAAAAATGAATACTTCTCACCACATCAGAGTGGTTTCCATAGGAACAGAAGTACCGCTGATAACTTAGTAAACCTTGAAACATCTATACGCGAAGCGTTTGTTAGACGACAGCACCTAGTGTCTGTATTTTTCGATATAGAGAAGGCTTATGATCGTTGTTGGCGATACGGGATACTCCGTGATCTGTACGAATATGGGTTGCGGGGTAATTTGCCAATTTTTATAAAAAACTTCCTACAGAATCGAAGATTCTATGTCAGGATGGGCAACACCTTATCTAGGCTTTTCACACAAGAAGAAGGTGTCCCTCAAGGCTCTATCTTGAGTGTGACTCTGTTCCTAATTAAAATTAATAGCATAGCTAACTGTCTTCCCCCTAGTGTGAAACACTCTTTGTATGTGGATGACTTTCAGATCTCCTGCCAGTCTAGCAACATGAGCTTTATCGAGAGACAACTGCAAACCTCCCTAAATCGCATAGACCATTGGTCAAAGATTAATGGTTTTAGTTTCAACATAGAGAAGACTCTGTGCATCCACTTTTGCCGAAGGCGTGGTTTGCACTCGGATCCTGAAATTTACTTAAAAAGGGTTAAAATCCGAATGGTCAACGAGACGAAGTTTTTGGGAGTCATATTTGATTCCAAACTGACGTTTTTACTTCACTTGCGCAATTTGAAGAGTAGATGTTTAAAATCTCTGAACCTTTTAAAGGTACTGTGCTGCTTATCCTGGGGAGCAGACAAAGTTTCTATGCTCAGGATTTACAGGGCCCTTGTCTGCTCTAAGCTGGACTACGGTTGCATTGTTTATGGCTCTGCGCGAGAATCTACTCTTCGGATGCTGAATCCAATTCACCATCAAGCACTACGTTTGTGCACTGGTGCTTTTCGAACTTCTTCTGTACAAAGTTTGTATGTGGATGCTTATGAGCCTCCACTATCTCTCAGGAGAGAACAGTTGTCTCTATTTTGCTATATAAAACAGAAATCTTAGTCTAAACCTTCAGTTGATTGTACAGTATCAGATACTCAGCTGAAAAGGTTATTTGAAGCACGCCCAAGCAGTGTTTCTTCATTCGCCGTAAGAATGAAGAATGTGAGCAGCACGATTGACCTGAACACAGGCAACATTTTACAGCTAGAGGTCTGTAGCATATGTCCTTGGTCAACTTTTGTGATAAATGTTGACTTCAGCTTAAAGCAATTTCCAAAGGAATTTACTCCAGATTATGTCTACAGACAGCATTTCGCAGAAATTCAACACTATGACAGGAATTTAATTCCTATTTATACAGATGGATCTAAATCTGATGATTACGTTGGCTCAGCTTTTGTCTGCCAGGATGAAATCATGGCAGAACAAATTGCATTGAATTCTTCCATCTTTTCTGCAGAGCTGCATGCCATTCATTTAGCTTTAAAGTATATAAATAGGAAAGGTCATCGTTCCTGTGTTATTTACACTGACTCAGTTAGTGCACTTCAGGCTTTGATTTCATGTGAATTTAGTTTTCACTCTATAGTGATTAAAATTTGCAAATTGTTTTGCCATCTTACTGGGAGTAATTTCTTTGTAAAATTTTGTTGGGTCCCAGGCCATGTAGGTATAAAAGGGAATGAAAAAGCTGACGCAGCTGCAAAGTCAGCTACTTCTTTGCAGCATATAATGCGTATTGAAGGAGTCAATTTGAAGCTAGTAGTTAAAAAACGACTAGCAGAGAGATGGCAAAACGTGTGGAATGCACAAGTCCACAATAAACTACATGAGATCAAGCCAAATATTGAAAATTAGACACACAATAAACAGTATGACAGGAGATCTGAAGTAATTCTTACGCGTTTGAGAATTAGGCATACTTGGTTGACTCATCAATACCTTTTTAAAGGTGAAGACCAGCCAGTATGCGAGCATTTCAACTGCTTTCTAAGTGTAAAACACATGCTATGCAACTGCACAGCTTTTGATCAAAGTCATAGACAGCATTTTGGAAATGCAAGTCTGAGAGAGATTTTGGGCCAGAGGCCAAATCTTGACAAATTATTGAACTTTTTGAAAGTGAATAATATTTATAGACATATTTAATTATTTATCTAGGTTATGTTTATATATATACCTTGTTGATTATTTATTTATTTATTTATTTATTTATGTATATATCTTGTTATTATTCATATGTATATTGTTAAATTTGGTTTTGTTATTTATTAGTTTATTTATTTATTTATATTGAACATCTTATATAAATAAATATATATATATATACCATTTGCCATGGCGCAGCATGGCCTGTATGGCCTTTGCATTAATAAACTCTAACAAACAAACAAACAAACATCTAGGCTTTTCACCCAAGAAGGTGTCCCTTAACGCTCTATTTTGAGTGTGACTCTGTTCCTAATTAAAATTAATAGCATAACTGTCTTCTAGTCAGTGTGAAACACTTTTTGTATGTGGATGACTTTTAGATTTCCTGCCAGTCTAGCAACATGAGTTTTATCGAGAGACAACTGTAAACCTTCCTAAATCGCATAGATTATTGGTCAAAGATGAATGGTTTTAGTTTCAACATAGAGAAGACTTCGTGCATCTACTTTTGCCGAAGGCGTGGTTTGCACTCTGATTCTGAAATTTACCTAAATGGGTTTAAAATTTTAATGGTCAACGAGACGAAGTTGTTGGGAGTCATATTTGATGTCAAACTGACATTTTTACTGCACTTGCACAATTTGAAGAGTAGATGTTTAAAATCTTTGAATTTTTTAAAGGTACTGTTGCTCATTTTGGGGAGCAGACAAAGTTTCTATGCTCAGGATATACAGGGCCCTTGTCCGCTCAAAGCTGGAATACGGATGCATTGTTTATGGCTCTGTGCGAGAATCTACACTTCGGATGCTGGATCCAATCCAGCATCAAGCATTTCGTTTGTGCACTGGTGCATTTCGAACTTCTCTTGTCTCAAGTTTGTATGTGGATGCTTATGAGCCTCCACTATCTCTCAGGAGAGAACAGTTGTCTCTTTTTTATTATATAAAACAGGAATCGCATACTAAATTTTCAGTTGATTGTACAGTATCAGATACTCAGCTGAAAAGGTTAATCGAAGCTTGCTGAAGTAGTGTCTTTACATTCATCATAAGAATGGAGAATGTAAGCAGCACAATTGACCTTAACACAAACAATATCTCACTGGTTGAGGTTAATAGTATACCATCTTGGTCAATTCCAGCGATAGATGTTGATTTAAGCTTAAAGCAGTTTCTGAAAGAAACCACTCCAGACTGCGTCTATAGACAGCGCTTCGCAGAAATTCAACATTGTGACAGGAATTTAATTTTTATTTATAGTGATGGATCGAAATCGGATAACTATGTTGGTTTAGCCTTTGTTTGCCAAAATGAAATTGTGGCAGAACAAATGGCACTGAATTTTTCCATTTTTTCTGCGGAGTTGCAGGCTATTTATTTAGCCCTAAAATACATAAATAGAAAAAGTCATCGTTGCTGTGTGATTTACACTGACTCAGTTAGTGCACTTCAGGCTTTGATGTCGTATGAACCTAGTTTTCACTCCATAGTTATTAAAATTTAGAAACTAATTTGTTGTCATCTTGCAAGGAATTTCTATATAAAATTCTGTTGGGTCCCAGGCCACGTAGGAATAAGAGGAAATGAAGAAGCTGATTTTGCTTCTAAGTCAGCAAGTCCTTCACAGCATACAATGCGTATTGAAGGAGGCGATTTGAAGCTAGTTGTTAAAAAACAACCAGCAGAGAGATGGCAAAATATGTGGAATGCAGAAACTCACAATAAACTATACGAGATCAAATTTTTAGTAGAAAATTGGACACACAATATGCAGTATGATAGGAGATCTGAAGTTGTTTTTACTTGTTTGAGAATTGGACACACTTGACTGACTCATCAATATTTTTTGAAGGGAGATGACGAACCAGTATGTCAGCACTGCAAGTGTACTGTATGTGTTAAACACATATTTTGGAACTGTGTTGCTTTTGACCAGAGTCGTAGACAGCATTTCGGAAATGCAAGCTTTAGAGAGATTTTGGGCCAGAGTTTAAATCTGGACAATATAGTGGACTTTTTGAAAGTCATTAATATGTATAGAGAAATTTGATTATTTATTTATTGTACAGTTCTATTTACTTTGTGTTACCTATTTAAATTATTATAAATATTTTTCGTAATTGTTTATTTATTTATTTATATTACTATTGGCTGTTTAATGGTTAAACTGTTATGTTTTGTTTATTCGTTTTTGTTTTTATGTTTATATATGTGTCTTCCTATTTATTGTATATATGAAATTGTACCATGTGTCATGGCGCAGTATGGCCTGTATGGCTTTTGTGCCAATAAAAACTAACTAACTAACAAACCAAAGTTTGTATGTGGATGCTTATGAGTCCCCACTGTCTCTTAGGAGAGAACAGTTGTCTCTTTTTTATTATTTAAAACAGAAATTTGATACAAAATATCCAGTTGATTGTACAGTATCAGATACTCAGCTGAAAAGGTTATTTGAAGCTCGCCGAAGTAGTGTTTGTACATTCTTCATAAGAATGGAGAATGTAAGCAGCACGATCGACCTGAACATGACCAACGTTTCACAGGCCGAGATTGATAGTATTTTATTCTGGTCTAATCCTGCGATAAATGTTGACTTAAGCTTAAAGCAGTTTCCTAAGGAATCCACGCCAGACTGTGTATAGACAGCGCTTTGCAGAAATTTAACACAATGACAGGAATTTAATTCCCATTCACACTGATGGTTCTAAATCAGATGATTATGTTGGCTCAGCGTTTGTCTGCCAGGATGAAATCGTGGCAGAGCAAATTACATCAAATTCATCTATTTTTACTGCAGAGCTACATGCTATCCAGTTAGCCTTAAACTATGTAATCAGAAAAGGTCATCGTCGCTGCGTGATTTACACTGACTCAGTTAGTGCACTTCAGGCTTTGATCTCGTGTGTACCTAGTTTTCACTCTATAGTGATTAAAATTCGTAAATTGTTTTGCCATCTTGCAAGGAATTTTTCTATAAAATTTTGTTGGGTTTCAGGCCATGTTGGTATAAGAGGAAATGAAGAAGCAGATGCAGCAGGAAAATCAGCTAGTCCTTCACAGCACACAATGCGTTTTGAAGGAGGTGATTTTAAGCTAGTCATTAAAAAACGACTAGCAGAGAGATGGCAAAATGTGTGGAACGCACAAGTCCACAATAAACTGGATGAGATTAAACCTACGATAGAAAATTGGACACACAAGAAATTTTATAACAGGAGATCTGAAGTTATTATCACTCGTTTGAGAATTGGACATACTCGGTTGACTTATCAATACCTTTTGAAGGGTGATGAGCAGCCAGTATGCCAGTATCGCAACTGNAATTCCTGAGGCATGTTTAATGCACTTAATATATGAAAGTTGTGTGCGCTTAATGTTTAAAAGTTTGATGCAGTTAATATATATAAATGTATACAATTCTTCATCTTAGAAACTAAACTTAAAATATCAATACACAAACAGCAAACAGTATTTGTACATGAGAAAGTGAAGCTATTCTTTACTCAAAAGTGTTCAATAGAATTAATATAATTAAAAAATCAAGTATAAATATATACAAATCTTCATGATAAAAAGTAATGTTAACAGATCAATACACAGCAAACAGTATTTCTGTATTACAGACTGAAGATAATCTTTAGCTGTATTCTGTATTCTATCATTTATTTCATCATAAAACTTCTGTATACACAACATTTTTGGTAAAAAAAGTACTATTATTTGGAATCAATTTGCCTTGTTCTGATGTTTTCAGAATCTTGATTTTGACATCAGTTGCTCTCCTTACTCTGGAAAAAGCAACGTAAAGTTGTCCATGTCCAAAAACAGGTTCAGACAAAAAAATTCCAACCCTGTCAAGAGTCTGTCCTTGTGACTTATTGATGGTCATTGCAAACGAAGCCTTGACAGGAAACTGTCTTTGTTTCAGGGTAAATGGGTAATCAGAACCATTATTTGTTAAATCAGTTTGTGGTATCAGGATTATCTGTCCCGATCCGGACCCAGTAAGCACTTCAGCTTCAATGACATGATCTCTTGAACTCATCACAACTAATCGGGTTCCATTACATAATCCCCTTTTTGTGTTGAGGTTCATCTGGCATGTAACTTATCACGCGATTTCGGTTTATCATTCGATTATCCTTTTTCAATTGGCTTCGTTACGTTTATTACGGTATAATTAAAGGAATAGAAGATTAGAATAACAATATTCATTTCATTCCTTTGAATATTGTTATTCTAAAACTTTGGCATGCATAAAACATATTTAAACATACAGTATGCTCACTATTCTGTACGCGAAGTGAAAGGTTCGCTAACTCTGGACTAAGAGAATTTGTAAATATGAAGTTTGTCAAAAAATGAAGCAAATACACAAATCGTATTTCAAAAAACTGGTTATTTAATTCAATTATATCCAACTCACCAAATAAACCATATCCAGTTTATAATCCATTAGAAAAATTCTTTCTACGAACGTTTTCGTCTATATTTAATAGACATCCTCAGGTATTAATGTGATGGAACTAAGGCTAGTGGAATAGAACGTCTTTGAAAGTTCCGTTTAACGATGTAATTCGAATATGATGCGTTAAAATTAAAATTATGTAAAATATTTAAAACATATCCGAATAAATAATCAATTGATTTCACGTAGATCATGACGTAGTAAAATGACGGAGGAAATACTTTAAAATTTCTACACTTACAAAGGAAGTTTAATTTAGCCGAAGTTCTGCAGACATTTTAACGCATCATATTCGAATTACATCGTTAAACGGAACTTTCAAAGACGTTCTATTCCACTAGCCTTAGTTCCATCACGTTAATACCTGAGGATGTCTATTAAATATAGACGAAAACGTTCGTAGAAAGAATTTTTCTGATGGATTATAAACTGGATATGGTTTATTTGGTGAGTTGGATATAATTAAATACACAAATCTAACGACACACAGAAATATACAGTTCGATGTAACATGAAGAAAAGCTGAATGAGGGGAAACAACGTGTCACACAGAGACATAGAAGACTAAACAATATGACCAAAAAAAAAACTTTAAATGCATGTGTGAACACACAAAGTACGATAAGCGTTGCTCTAATACATGTCCCGTCTATTGTTAGAAACTTTTTGTTCGAAAATAAAATATTTTATATGTAGTATTAGTTGCACATCTTACAGACAGTAATTTATATATTTTTGTTATATAACTTTACATCTTAAAATTAGAGAGATTAGTTATATGAAACATAGATGTTTGTAAATTTAGTTAATACATTTATTGTTTTTTATTTAAAATTCAGACTAAATGCTTATTTTGGTTATTTATTATTTTATTTGTTTTTACGAAGTTAATATTGAAAAATAAATTGTCATTGTCAAATATAAACTCGGATTTAAATATAGAACGTTACGATGTTACGAAAGTGTAACTATCAAAGTTCGTGGAACTGTGATCCCAGCTTTTCAAAGTGACAAAACAGTTAATTATATGTTAATAAGACAGTGTTGCTCAGATAAAAGAATTATATGATTTANATATAACTTTACATCTTAAAATTAGAGAGATTATTTATATGAAACATAGATGTTTGTAAATTTAGATAATTCATTTATTTTTTTATAAGCATTTAGTCTGAATTTTAAATAATTCGGTTATTTATTATTATATTTGTTTTTACAAAGTTAATATCGAAAAATAAATCGTCGTTGTCAAATATAAACTCGGTTTTTAGTATAGAACGTTACGATGTTACGAAAGCGTCACTATCAAAGTTCATCGAACTGTCGTCCCAGCTTACCGAAGTCACAAAACAGTTAATTACGTATTAACAATAAGGTGTTGCTCGGATAAAAGAATTATATGATTTAATATTGATTCTTACGGTACGAGTGCATCTGTTGAGTGCAGTTTTTCAACCATGAATCGAATTCTTGATTTTTATATATTATGAATATTCCGAAAATATGTCAATTCTAAGGCCTAACGGTTGGCAGAGACAAAGCGATTTAAAACGGTTCGAACATTAGGTTAAAACATTGAAATATTTTTACTAATATTTAAAACTAGCAGGCCCCGCCACGTGTTGTTGCGACTTAAAATGTATCTATTACAAATGTATAACATTACCCTCATGGGGGAGGGGAAATTTTTTGAAAAATTTTTTCTTAATGTACATTCTTTTGACGTACCCTATTAAAACGCAATCAAAAAGCAAAAAACCGTATCTAAAATAGTATAAATAGAAGCAGAGTTCTTTACGGTAAGCCTTAATTCTTTCTATCGCTCTCCAGTTGGGAAATTTCGACATATTATATAAAAACACGTGCGTATTCGAATGCAGCATTGTGTCAAAATTTCAAAGGAATCGGTAGGAACAAATGAACATTACGTTTTCACTTATAAAGATAGAAGATGATGTGTTTTAGTTCATTTTCACAGAAAAGCAAACTTAGGGCGTCGTACTTGTAGCGTCATCTGTTGGACATAAGAGCCTTAACCTAGATGATATCTTTTAATTTATATGAATGTTTAACGGAATGATATACAGCCTGTGTCCACCCTGCAGTTCCATTCTAAATATTGGTGAAAGAATTTTTGAAATCGGATGAATAGTTTTGGAGATTACCTGCTACATCCAAACTTTCTTACTTACAAACATTACCTGTTTATAATATTAGTATAGACAATATATGAAATATTATCAATTTAAGAGAAAGTATGAAAATCAATTTCGAGAGCTGTTTTTGTGGTTAAGCGTTAATGCTCTCTTTTTCCTTTTCCTTAATGACGCGCTCTTCAATACAACCATTAAATTGCCACTTATGGTCTAAACTAGTTCAAACCCACCTCGGGCAGTTCTTCCATTCTTGAAATTAGGTGCAGGCGTTAATAGCAGCAAAGGAAATTCATTTGTTTGTTTGAAATTGTATGAAAAACAAAAAAATATGAAGTGCTGTCGTTAGAAAATCGTGTTTTATTGAAGGCCGTTATTTAAACGTGTCAGTCGATAAGTCTAATTTAATATTAGACTTATTGACTGACACGTTGAGGCCTGCTTCTTTAATATTAAAGACGCAGGCCTCATTTTTGAATAGACCATTTTGTTATTTCTGACCAACAATGGTGTAGTTTATCAATAAGAAATGACTTAAACCATTCAACTTTTTTGGAAAGTAACTTTTTGTTGATCCAATGTATTTCACAACTATAATAATTTATAAAAAAACAGAACTTATTAAAAAATACAAACTTTTCTTTCATCTTAAAGAAATAAAGTATAAAATTTTTTTTGTATATTTTTTTTACTTTAATTTAAATACAAAACATTTTTATTATAATTTAATATTTTAATGCCTATATGTTATTGTGTCTGTTTTCAAAATAAGCCACCAGACCGTTCCAATCATCATTATTGTGTATCCATGTTAGTAATTTAATTTCAATATAGGAGCTCAACAATTCTGCTATGTTGTCGTTTATTTCTGTCTTATTTATTCTGTAGCAAATGAAAGCCATTTCACCAGTAAACGCAAATAATTTCACGATTTTATACCAAGTAATTCCATCGCTGAATAATTCGTTAGCAAATTTCAAGAAAGTGGTACCAGCAGCAAGTTGTATGTTCCGTTTGTCAGTCATTTTGTAAATTTTGTCTCGAAATTCGGTTATGAATTCATATCCTAGTGCTCTTAGTGTCATGTTCACTTCATTGGGCATAGTTGTTGGCTTCTTCCAATCATAACCACTGTCAGTGAGCCTTCGCAATGTTTTTGGAAAAATGATACAATGAAGCATAAACACTCTTAGTTACTTTCAATATAAACTGAACCAATACAAGTTGAACAGATAAAAAATTGTCATGACGCCATGCAATACGTAGACGTTTTCAAAAACCAATAAAAAAAGTTTTACACGCATAGACCATTTTGTTATTTCTGCCCAAACATACACTTTTTTCTGAACTAATACGAAAGATATCGAACATTTTGCTTACATTGAAATAACAGTTTCAATATGACGCGGTTACAAGAACAATGTCATTAATTAGTTAATTAAGAGGAAGGGGGCATATCTTCACAATAGGTTGCTTGAGCTGTTGACCGGATGCCAATTTGACTGTTACCACCTATACACAATTGTCCTCTCCAGGATGAAGTTCACAAACTCTCGCTATCTTCCATTTTGTGGGTGGCACATCGTCATCCTTGAGTAACACTAACTCACCAATTTTGATGTTCTTTTTTTGGCTGCTCATTTATGTCGTTGTTGTAGACGTGCAATATATTCACGTTTCCACCGTCTCCAGAAATGTTGCAACATCTGTTGGCCTAGCTGCCATCGAGAAAGGCAGTTAGAATTGATGCTTGTGAGATCTGGCTCAGGAATTGCTGAAAGGGAATCCCCGATAATGAAGTGTCCTGGTGGGAGAACGGTGAGATCATTACGATCACTGCTAAGTGCTGTGAGTGGTCTGGAGTTTCCAAAAAAGTGGTACGAGCAGCAAGTTGTACATTCCGTTTGGCAGTCATTTTGTAAATTTTGTCTCGAAATTCGGTTATGAATTAGTTTGCGAGCGATCTGAGTGCCATATTCACTTCATTGGGCATAGTTGTTGGCTGCTTCTAATTATTACCACTCATTTACAATTGATAGGATATAAAGTCATTTACGATACGGCTAATTTTTATCTCATCCGTAGTATCACATGACCAAGGAAAACAGTCCATTCTTCCTGTCAAAACGTGTTCCGAGATGAGCGCTAGGGGCGCTGACACTATAAAATTAGACGACGTTTTAGATATTTTCTAGTTTTTGGATTTGTTTAATTAGAATAAATGAATTCATGTAAGAATTTTTGTTCTAATTTAATAAAAATTTATAAATTTTAAGTTTTTTTAAAATATTTTTTTATATATCAGGCCAACACGTAGATTGCGGTCGACCGCAAAGGTTTTGAAAGTAGCCCGCGAAGCTAAAGTTGAACAATTTGCATTCACTTAAATTAATGTTTAAAAATCTTAATTCGATAATTTATTCTTGCAATAATAGACTGTCTGTGCAACGTACCCATACTGTTTTTATTTATTCC